CTTCCATCCAATACACTTGAGAAAGTGAGAGATTTTAAAATGCCAGGCTATATGCTTCCTTCTTACGAATGGTAGAATGTGCTGATAAGTTTGTACTTGAAGTCAATTCTCATACCACAAACATAATGCAGCAAGAATTTGAAGCAGACAAAAGGTCAATAATGCATAGTCAGGGAATAATGAAATTATAACTAACGTCAATCACAACAATTCATATACCCACTTAAAACTGCAAATATTGAAAACACAAAGCACCTGAAACAAAAATGACTATTTAGCATTTTGGACAGATTTATTTTGATGGAAATTCCTAGATGAAGGAGCGATACATAGAATTCTAACTTAGATCCTTTCTTTGTTAAAATGCTGAAAGATCTGTTGTGTATTTTCAGAACTTGTTTCTGTTTTCCAGTGACTGAATTGGGGATTTTAATTACACAAATGCAAACTGGGATGGTGGTAGTGTAACGGGCAGTGAAGGACAAGCATCCTTAGATTTCATTGAGGGGAATTTCTTAAAGATAAACATCCAACAAGAAAGAAAGAACTGCTAGATTTGGTTCTTGGGAATGAGGTGGGGCATGTAGATCAAGTGACAGTATGGGAACATTTAGGGAACAATGATCCCCTTATCATAAGGTTTGGGATAACAATGGAAATGACATTGGTTAGTTCTGAATAGAAATAATCAACTGGCGGAGAGGTGATTTCAATAGGACTGGAATGACGCTGGGGTGAATAGCTTGGAATCAATCTTTGGTGGGACAAATAAATAGGTCAGCAATAGATTACCTTCAAAGAGGAGACAGGTCAGACACAATCAAGTTCTTTTCCCTCAAAAGGGAAAGACAGGCCAAACAAATCCAGCATTCCGTGGATGGCAAAGGAGGTAAATAATAAAGAAGAAAAAGTCTGCTTATGACATGTGCCGAGTAGTAAATACAAATGAGAGCCAAACTGAATACAGAAAGTTCAGAAGAGGTATAAAAAAAGCAAATAAGAGAAGGAAAGAGGGATGATAGAAGAAGACAATCAGCTATCAAAGGTATATCCCAAAGTGTTCTTTATGCACATCATCAGTAAAGGATTTACACATGGAGGCAAGAAGCATGGTGGAGGTGTTAATTTAATACTTTGTCTTCCTCCTAACCTACATAGCAGATGCTGCCCAGCCATGGTGGTAAAGGAGGAAACTCAGTCATTAGAGGGTTTAAAACAGATAAACAGAAAGTATTGGATAAGCTGTCAGCCCCTAAAGTTGATAAAGAGGCAGGAACAGATAAAGTGCATTCAAGGATACTGATGGAAGCAAGAGTAGAAGTCATAGAGAAATTGTCAATAATCTTTCAATCTTCCCTGTGTCTGAGTGTCATGCAAAGGAATGGAGAACTGCAAACATTACGCTCTTAACCAAAAAAGATTGTAAAGAGAAGCCCAGTAATTACAGACTGATCAGATAAACTTGCATTGTGGAGAAAATTTGAGAAATAATTACTTAGGAATTAATAGTCACATGGAATCAATGTGGGTTAATTTGGAAGAGTCAGCATTAATTTGTTAAGGGAGAATTATGTCTAACTAGGAGTATTTTTAAGGAGTTAAGAAAGAGGGTTGAGCAGGGAAAGCCAGTTTGTGTGATGTATGTGTACTTCCAGAAGGTATTCAATACAGTGTCACACAACAGATGTGTTGAGGAAATGTATAGGCATGGAATAAAAGGAAGATTAGCAACTTTGATACAACGCTGGCTGAAGGGCAGAAAGCAGGGAGTAATAGTTAATGAGTATTTTTCAGGTTCGAAGAACATTTATAGTAGAGTTCCTCAGTAGCCAGAATAGTGATTCTTGCTTTTCCTGACTTATATAAATGACCTAGATCTTGGTGTGCAGGGAACAATTTTCAAGTTTGCAGATGACAGAAAACTGGAGAATTGGAAACGAGAGGAGACCAGTGCAGAACTTGAAAACAGCATTGACACCTTGATGGATTGAGTAAATAGGTACAGGTAAGGATCAATGTGGAAAAACATAGTGTTCTACTTTGGCACATAAAACATGGAGAGACAGTATAAATCAAAGAGTACTCTAAGGATTTACAGCAGCAGAGAGACCTGGGGGTATGTGCATAACTAATTAAAAGTCACAGGCCAGATCCATTAATAAAGCATGTAGTATCTTAGAATTCATTAATACAGGCATAGACTACAAAAATCAGTATCATAGAGGTCTATAGCACCAAAAAAGGCTCTTTGGCCCATCGAGTCTGCACCAGTCAAAAACAGTCACCTAACTATTCTAATCCCATTTTGGCACTTATCTCATAGTCTTATATGACATGGCATCTCAAGAGCACAACTAAATACCTAAATGTTATGAGCTTCTCTGCCTCTACCACCTGTATAGGCAGTGAGAGTTCCAGACTCTCAACACCGGCTGTGTTTAAAGAAAAACAACATTCCTTATGTCCTCTCTAAACTTCCTGCCCCTTACTTTAAATCCCTGGGCATTGATCCCTCCACTAAATAGAAAAGTTACTTTCTGTCTAACCTGTCCAAGCTCCTCAATTTTATACATCTCAATAATGTTCCCTCTCAGTCTTCTCTACTCCAAGAAAAACAAACCCAGTCTATCCATTTTATCTTCATCACCAAAACTCTGCAGCCCTGGCAACATCCTGGTATTTCTCTTTTCTTCTTCAGTACAGTCACATCATTTCTTCAACACACATACGTACAGAACTTGCATACGATATTTTAACTGTGATCCAACAAATTTTTTATACAGAGCAGGGAGGTTATGCTGAACTTGTAGAGGATACTGGTTAGATATCAGCTGGAGTATTGCACACAGTTCTGGGCACCACACACAAGATGGGAATCCAATGGAGAAAATGTATAATAGGTTGGTGAGAATGGTTCTAGGGATGCTTAACTTCAGTCATAAGGATAGATTCGAGAGGTTAAGACTGTTTACCTTGGAGAAGGCGGCCAAGAAGAGATTTGACAGAAGTTTTCAAAATAATGAGGGATCTGGACAAAGCAGATTGAGAGAAACTATTCCTGCTCTTCAAAGAATCAAGAGCCAAAAGGGATAGTTTTAAAATGAGCATCTGCGACGCAAGAATTGTTTTTTGTGCAGTAATAGTTATGTTCTGGAAGCTACTGCCTGGAAGTGTAGTGGAAGCAGGTTCAATTAAGGCATTCAAGAGGGCTTAGATATTTAAATAAAAACAAATGCACAAGGTTACAGTGAAAAAGCTGGAAATTGGTACAAAATCAAAATGCTCTGGGAGCCAGCATAAACACAGCAGGCTGAATGACCTCCTTCTGAACCATAAAAGTGATTCTGAATTTCATGAATAAAACAACAAACTGTCTCATTCTTTTCTTTCATTTCATATGGGTGGCACGGTGGTTCAGTGGTTAGCACTGCTGTCTCACGGCGCCAGGGACCCAGGTTCGCTTTCACCCTTGGGCAACTGTCTGTGTGAAGTTTGCACATTCTCTCCATGTCGCGTGGGTTTCCTTGGGTGCTCTGGTTTCCTCCCACAGTCCAAAGATGTGCAGATTAAGTGGACTGACCAGGCTGAATTGCCCACAGTGTCCAGGGATATGCAGGCTAGGTGGATTAGCCATGGGAAATGCAGGGTTACAAGGATATTACTGTAGCCTTCATTAATTCAACAGCAAAATGTGACAGATGCTGGAGATCTAAAGCTAAAACAAAAACAAAAAAGTGCTGGAGGAACTCAGCAGATCTGGTAGCGCCTGTGAAGACAAAGACAAAGTTAATATTTGGAGTCCAATATGACTTCTTCAGAAGCACTGTTACTCAATATTTTTTGCATTCACAGAGATCAAATGCTTCAATGATATAATTAGAAGACAAAGGTTTATATACATAGGAAAAACAAAACGAGGTGCCGATATACTAAAGTGGTAGCAAATTAAATAGCTGTTCCCAAACAAATGAAAGACATCTGGCAGTGAGTTCATTAATCAACCTGAATTTATGTATTCAGGAAAAACAGCAATCTATGTTCACATTGTGATCACAAAGAAAATGAATGAAGTGAATGATTAAATTATAACACAAACACGTTACTAGCAAAGTTTGTGCAGCTGGTGAAATCTTAAAGATTTTGTTCAATCAAAAACAAATGAAGCCATTACTGTAGCAACTAAAATCAAAGCAATATCTTTGCAACTGTAGTATCCCCATCTCCAATTCTTTTGGAACTTAGACTTAACTCAATAAAATAATTTAATTTCTGTAATCATTAAAAATGTTTAAAAAGTGCTAATTTTATTTGAATCCAACAGAAACCTTGCTTGTAGTAGAAATCTCAGTACTTAAATTCCACAGATTGCTTGATTCTGAAAATAAACAAGAAGTTGGGAACGAGATACTACAGTTTACAATTACAAGACATAAGGTCTGCCTCCAAGCACAAAAATGGCACCAGCAAATTTATCGCAATCCAATAACAAAAATGTGTTAACGTTTGTGCCACTTATGAACAAATGGTATCCATCATGGTTTACTGTCTTTTGTAAGTTGGGTTCCTTCATTGCAATGATTCAAAAAGCAGTAGCCTAAATGTCTTAAAATAATGGTGCTGTAGCCCAGACCAATCTGTTCCAAGCTTAGTTTTTTGGGTGACTCATGATGCGTGTAGGAACTCAATAGTCATGGAATGAGTATAATTTTTGAGAGATGGAATTAGTAGCTTTTAAAGCAAAGACAGTTCCATGCTTCAGCATGGATGTTCATATTTTCTGGCTTGAATTTACATCCATTCTACACAAGCCTAAAAGTCAAGCCTTTTTGAAGATTTCAATGTAAAAATGCCTTTATACCGGAATTAGAAACATAATTAGGTACAGGAAGGGTCTTTTTACTTATATGTACTTTTTCTTAGTTGGTATGGATGTCTTTAAATAAACTGTATACTTGCTGGTGCCAACTTCACCCACCACCACCAAAGGCAAAAATTCTAACCAGTTATTGGCTGCGATTTCTTGCGCTCAATCTCGCTTGCATCATTCACTGCGCCAGTTGATGATTGCCTCAGTGTTCTTTTGACACGTGCTCCATTTTTTGCCATTTCAGAATCATGTTCTGTGTCAGCTCTACTATCAAGTCCAAATAGCTCTACTAGGGAAAAAGGGCACTTTTTAATCTTAACTTCACATACAAATTCAATCCATAATGGAGCATCAGAAAATAAACCTGAAGATATTAATTGATTGTTAACTCATCAAGTTGTCTTGCACTATAAAAGTTTTCCATTTCAGAATCCTTTAAGGTGAGTTGTCTGTCCATTGTTTTAAACAATAAAATTAATTTAAATGTACAGAACTAGATTTTATTTTAGCAATATTCCAGGAAACTCAAAGCTCTTTCTAATTTGTTATGTGTAATGCAGTTATGCCTTCCTAGTTACAGTAAGCCTCATGCTACCTATCTCTGGACATCAGTACTCAATGCTGAAATAATACTTTTATTTGTCCCATTACATAAGCACTGTTCCAAATGTTTAAACTTGTTTGAATAGATAACTGAAATGAATTAGAGTTGCTTTGATATTTAAATGCATAAAATTTTGCTTGATGCTAACTTATATTTTAATATTCACATCACAATAAGTCTCAGTCCAGTAATTACGAGTTTCATTATAAATATTGTTTCTTTTGTAATCTGACTTATGCTTCAGTTTATGGAGACAGACAAATGGAAATACACGATGAAAGACAAATTCTAATTGCATGTTTTGAACATGTAAAATGCATACAATATGGTTCACAAATTGTGTTCCACACAATTGCAAGAACTAAAAAGTATGCACGACTGGCAATTGTAGAATTAAGTGTAAATGCAAGTAAGTTACATTTGTATATCAAACCTTTTATTGTCAAATCCTTTTACAAACTTTATGCTATTGTATACCACCAATTTACAACACTTAAGCCATCACATACTGGAACCTTACCAGTGTCCAATTGGTACCAGAGACAACAAGCTATATAAATTGCAGAATTTATTTCATGTTTTCTGTAAATAGATATGCCCCAATATTCATGCTCTCAATCTTGGGAGTTCTCTTGCTGCAGTGGCACGATAGCTGACCTGGTTCATTTGGGAAACTGGTAAGGTAACAGATCTGCAAATGCAGGTTGAAGAGTTGCTGTCTGCTGTATTGTTTAATTGTATGACCATGAAGCATTGTAAATGTCCTCCCTCCTCTCTAACTTCAAAATTTCTATGTTTCTCTTGCTTCACATTAAGTAGTGTTTGCCTACCTTCATGTGAAGATGACCAGCTGCTAGGCCCACTGAAAGGAGGACTGTTCTGTCCATCTTTTTCTGATGGCATTCTCCTTAGAACAGGTGGAACCAGAGCAATTTTGGGGGAAGAGTGACCAGATGGTGATTCTGGGGCTTCCTCTATAAAAAGGAGTAATAAAGACATAATTTTTGTAGTGTTGTGTTTCCCCAAACAAAATTGGCAGTGCTTTGAGATAGGCGATCAATGGGTATTGAGTAATCTCAATGAATCCTCTCCCAATACACTATAGGTCAAATTTACAAGGGTTTCCAGCAGTTATTTTTCCCTTCTATGCAGCACGAATCCTAATCAACATCTTACAAAATAGATACCATTAGTTCATTAATACAAAACTAAACACCTAAACTAGATGGTCAAGTCTGCATGACCTTTAACTTATCAATCGGTGAACAAACATATCACATATTCCTGTATAGGAATAAATCTAAATGCAAGTAATCTATAAATTTAAATAATAAGTTTTAAAAGCTTTAATAATTTTTAAATTGAAGACCAATGCTAAGCAATCAACAGAATCCACTATCCAGTTGTGCTTAAATCCACTTCCTGGGCTTTATTTATACCAGATTTCCACATTCTCTTAGAATCTAACATTCAGAGGACAGATTATTCCAAAAGTTGTTAGGTGGCAATGCTTTTCCTGCCCAGAAATAGGTGACAAGTATATTGTCAAGTTTTCAAGAGGTCACTCAGGACAGTTTTGGGCACCACTGAAGAGGAGGTCAAAGGACACAGATCAGTTCAGGTTGTCATGGTGAGCAGTGTCATCGGAGGCACAATGAAATGTCAGCTCGGAGCACCTGAGGTAGTCGTTTGCAACAGCTTAGAAGTTAGTTGGGGAAAGAAACATTCTATGTTGGGCAATGATGTTCCAAAGCAGTTGAACGGTTCTGAATAGTCGGGGATCAGGAAGGTTCTGGAAGCTGTGAGCCACTAATAGGTCAGTATTGTCGGTTGTGCAGTTCAAAAGCTAAAAGCACCTTTTTCATGCAACTGAGCAAGATTAGAGTTTAGAGAAAACACAAGGGCAGTTTTTAGTTTGGTGGAGCTAGCTGTCAGTAAAAAAGCTGGAATTATGCCTTTGAACAAGTGGAACGCACTTTGTAGAGTGCAGGGGGAATATATCAGAACAGGAGTAGTTATTGAGGCAACTAAAATGGAACAGCTCAAGAGGAAGTTTCACTGTCAGATTGGAAAAATACTGAATTGTAATCCTTCATGAAGCTTAATGAGATTTGATGACCCATTATGCCATTAATCTCTGGAGAAATAGCTACGATATCTGTAAGTTCCAACTTGATCACACTTAATATTTAATGTGCACTGTGGAGTATTTGATCACGTTACATTATCCATGTTATATATTGTAGTAAAATATTGTTGATGTTCAAAACCATGAAATATTATGGTTTTATTCTCTTAGCAAGTTCCCTGGAATTCACCTTTTGTCTTTTAAGAAAAAAGGTTACTGATCCCTAACCAGCTTGTGACATAATTTGGGAGTCTTCCATAACATAGTAAAGAGTAGAGACACGCTATATATCAAGTTTCAAAGTGACGTGGTTGAATTCAAGAGTCAGGCATCAAGTTTAAGCGGAGCCAATTACAGAAGTACAAGGGGCAAGCTACCGAAAGTAGATTGTAAAGTTAGGTTGAAAGTATATGATGCTAGATAAGCAACGAAAACACAGAAATAATTCATAACTCTCAACAAATATATATTCCATAAAGGAATAAAACTCAATTAGAAAAGTGGTACAGACAAGGCAAACCAGAAAAGAAAAGCTAGGGACCATATTTAAATCAAAGAAGATACACCACTGCCAAAAGATTAGCAAATCTGAGGATGAGGAAGATTTTGAAAATTAGCAAAGGACAATCAAGAATTGATTAGAGGAGAAAGAAAGGCTAGAGAATTACCTAGCAAGAAATATACAAACATATTGCAAGAGCCTTCATGGGCGTGTAAATTAAAGCAGTGAAAGTGATTGTGGGATTCCTAGAGATGAAGTCAGGAGAAACCTAATGGGAAACAATGAAATGGCAGAAATGTTAGTACAGACAAAGGTAATGCGAAGAAAAAAGGGACTAAAAGCAGTCTAATGGCTTACATCCTAAAGTTTTAAAAGAGGTTACAGCAGACTTACCAAAACAGCACAGATTCTAGAATGGTCTTCTTGGATTGAAAATTAGCAAATGCACCTCGACTATTCCAGAAAGGAGACAGATAGAGAACAGGGAACTAATATCAAGCTAACCAGTCATCGCTAGGAATAAAATTGCTAGAATTTATTTTTAAGGATGAATATATAGGGCACTTTGAAAATTACAACATGATTTGGCACAGTCAGCTTGATTTTGTGAAAGGAAAATCAAGTTTGACAAATCTATTAGAGTTTTTTTTGGGGGGTGGTGTGTAACTAGCAAAGTAAATAATGATGAACCAGTGGATACAGTATACTTGGATTTTCAAAAAGTATTTGATTAGATGCTGCCCAAGTAGTTGATTTGGCAATAGAGCTTATGGATTGAGGAATAGTTCAGAGATAAATGGATCATTTTTGAGACAGCAGGATATAATTAGTGAAGTATCACAATAATCATAGCTTGGGCCTCAGACATTTACAATGTATATCGATGACTTCAATGAATATTGTTTCCCGCTCATATTATCCTGATCCACTAGAGTCAGAGTCAGCACGGAAATAGACGCTTTGGTTCAACTCGTCCATGCCGACCAGGTATCCTAATTTAATCTTGTCCCATTTGCCAGCATTTGGCCCATTTCCTTCTAAACCCTTCCTATTCACATACCCATCCAGATGTCTTTTAAATGTTGTAATTGTACCAGCCTCGACCACTTCTTTTAGCAGTTCGTTCCATATACACACTACCTTCTGCGTGAAAAAGTTGCCCCTTAGGCCCTTTTTATGTCATTCCCTTCTCACCTTAAACCTATGCCCTCTAGTTTTGGACTCCACTACCCTGGGAAAAAGACCTTGGCTATTCACCCTATCAACGCCCCTCATGATTTTATGAACCTCTATAAGATCACCCCTCAGCCTTGGACCCTCCAGGGAAAATTGCCCCAGCTTATTCAGCATCTCCCTATGGATCAAACCCTCCAACCCTGGTAGCATCCTTGTAAATCTTTTCTGAACCCTTTCAAGTTTCACAACATCCTTCCAAAAGTAGGGAGACCAGAATTGCATGCAGTATTCCAAAAGTGGCCTAAACAATGTCCCGTACACCCGCAACATGACCTCCCAACTCTGATACTCAACGTACTGACCAATAAAGGCAAGTGTGCCAGTATCCTGTCTGCCTTTGACTCCACTTTAATAGGAACAATGAACCTGCACCCCAAGGTCTCTTTGCTCAGCAACACTTTCTAGGACCTTACCATTAAGTGTATAAGTCCTGCCCTGATTTGCCTTACCAAAATGCAGCACCTCACATTTATCTAAATTAAACTCCATCTGCCACTCCTCTGTCCATTTGCCCATCTGATCAAGATCCCGTTGTACTCTGGAGGTAATCTTCTTCGCTAACCACTACACCATCAATTTTGGTGTCATATGCTTAGTAAGGTTGCAGATCTCCAATATTCACATCCAACTCATTTATATAAACGACAAAAAGCAGTGGACCCAGCACTGATCCTTGTGGCACACCACTGGTCGGGGCCTCCAGTTTGAAAAGCAACTCTCCACCATCCTCTGTCTTCTACTTTGAATCAATTTTCTATCCAAATGGCTAGCTGTCCCTGTATTCCATGTGATCCAACCTTGCTAACCAGTCTACCATGTAGAACCTTGTTAAACACCTTGAAGTCCATATAGACAACAAGTCCATATTGCCTTCACCAATTCTCTTTGTTCAAAACATTCAATCAAGTTAGTGAGACACGATTTCCCCCACACAGTCAGTTGACTATCCCTAATCAGTCCTCGCCTTTCCAAATACAAGTAAATCCCGTCCCTCAGAATCCGTTACCCACTTAAAACAACTTACCCACTACTAATGTTAGGCTCACCAGTCTATAATTATCTGGGTTTTCTATAACGTCTTTCTTAAATAATGGCACCATGTTAGCCAACCTCCAGTCTTCCGGCACCTCACCTATGGTTATCAATGATACAAATATCTTAGCAAGGGGCCCAGCAATCATTTCCCTAGCTTCCCACAAAGTTCTGGGTACATCTGATTAGGTCCTGGTGATTCATCCACCTTTATGCATTTTAAGATGTTCAGCACCTTCTACTCTATATTATAGACACTTTTTAGGATATCATTATTTATTTCTCCAGCTTCCATATCCTTCTCTGCAGTAAAAACTGATGCAAAATACTATAGTTCAATGCAAAAGACGACACTTACTACTGGATCAATTCCAGTTCTGCATGTTTATTTACAGATCAGCATTCTTTGTTCCAAAATTATCCTACTGCAATTCTGTTTATTCTTCCAACTCTAAAATGTGATTTTGTGGAAGTAACTGGATGCAGAACCTACATCTTGGGGCTCACCAATCCTGTACAGCTCTACTTAACCAATCAGGAAGGAGATAAAAATGATCATTTCAGCTACACCACCAATAGACCAGGAGGAACAGAGTGGCTGAACTATTTTCCTTTTCCTGTTTTTTTCTGTCCTGATCTGCTATGTTATTGGTTAATGCAGGAAGGAGACCTATTTCAGCCTGTGTGCCCTTTGAGTTGATCAACTGAAGATGTATGATAATGGTCCAGTGACAGTTTCTTTCATTTTTGGAACTTTGAATCCCACGGCTATTGTCCAGCTTTTACAATTACGAGTTCCAAAGACTACAGATACTTCAGTAGCAGCATATTGTACTCAATTTCTTCTCTTAAATTCATCACATGAGGTCAAACCCTCTCTAGATTATTCAATCATTCTACTTTCAGGTCAGGAGTTAGTGACAATTTCTACTCACCTGTGCTCCAGCTGGGCCTAGGTTTCTGCGGAATACTAGGTCGCCCCACATTGCTGGGCTTGAGAATTTGAGGTGGTGTTTTTGGACTGGTAGGTGTGGAGGAGGAACTTTTCGGTTTCATTGTTTCAGTCTTTGGTTCGGGTTTTGTAAGTTTCTCCGGTGAAGTCAGACTGGAATCTCCTTTTTGGATTTGCTGGTTCTTGGCTACCAAAATGAGATTAAAAATATGGCAAATAATGTCAGTTTTAGAATGTATTAAAGTTAAATGGTGAAATTGGACAATGCATGCTTTATTAATCAGAAGATAAACCAGTTTGTCATATGAATCATGTGGAATAATTTCATTGCCTTATACAATCTGTGTGCTTTTTGGCCCGGAAAGCAATAATTTGTTCCATGAGAGATTTTATTTTTTAGCATCAAAGACCAAGTGTTTTCATGACCGCTTGGGAATCAATAGTGTTAGAATACATCAGAAACATGCAGACAAACCCGGAATTAAAAATGAAGGCAAGGAATACAAATCATATTTAGTTAACGTACAGGAAGTAAAATGAAGAGATATAGATGGGTCTAATGGAGATATATAATAGAGAAAGAATAAAAGCAATTAAAAATACGCAACATTAATTTTCTTGAGGAATTGAGGCTTCACACTTCTAGAATTTAGTTCTCAGGACCAGGAGGATCAGCCTTGATCTTTGCAGACACCTACAGTGCAGAATTAGTGTGTAAATCTCTAATTTATCTCTAAAATTTCTAATTTACCATAACATTATTTCAGTGCGGAAGTCTTGCCTTAGCCAGTTAGTGCTCTGTTTAACATTAGATGGCTTGGGACACCTGGTATCAGCAGGCATGTGGAAATGGCGAGTATAAAGCTGGAATTTCAGCTTGTAGAATAGAATGATGGGAAATGGGTTAAAGCTCCTTGCTGAAGCATGCAACGACAAGAAATTTTCATGCTTTGGAGGAATAGTTCTGTTTTAAGAGGTGAATTTTATCAATTTCTCTAGATATATCAAATTTCTACCAACTAATAGTTGGGTCTAATTTTACTAAATCTTTGACATGGCATGACCTGAATTATTTCAAGACAGCTCCTTAGATAGCAGCTTCCAGACCCATGACCAATACCTTCTGGCAGGACAAGGGCAGCAGATACATTAGGACACCATCTACAAGTTCCCCTCCAAGCCACTCACCACTCTGGCTTGGAATTATATCATCATTCCTTCAGTGTCATTGGGTCAACATCCTAAAATTCCCTCCTTAACAACACAGGGTGTCTACCTACAGCACGTGGATTTCAGTGGTTCAAGATGACAGCTCATCACCACCTTCTCAAGGGCAACTACAGTTGGCAATAAATGCTGCCCTAGTTCGCAAAGTCCCACAAGTGAATTAAAAAAGGTTAGATGAAAAACCATTAATTTCAAATTATGCCTCTCATTTCAAATAAGACTGGTCAGTTCATATAATTCATAGCCCAATGAAATTTTCCCTATCACATAGTTGTAATCAACTGCTCAAATGAGATCCAAGGGTTTAGAATGAGTTTAATTCTCATGCTCATATTAGCTTCCTCCGTCTTCTTGGTGAATATAAGTAGTCAGTTTCTATCTAGTAAGTCTAATGTATGGGCTCTTATAAGTATATTGTAATTGTAATCATATATCACAGACATATTCTAGCCAATAATGCCGCTTGACTAAGTATAACATCAGCAAGATTTGAAAAAATAGTGTATAAATACTTTTCTTTGAATACAATCTGCATGAATTAAATAAGTTGGGCATAGTGAGTTCCAATACAAACAGAAAAGAAAATATTTACACACTTCTGTGTTTAATATTAATAAAGTCAAATAGCAGCCATCCAATCTAAATGCAAAAACTGACAAGTTCATTGTTACATCACCTCTGTCAACATTGTGCTCACCTCTACCAGTTTCATCTAGTCGGTCTGCACTTGATGTATTTTCATACAACTCCTTGCTTCCAGATTCATTTTCAAGTTTCTGGGGACAAGATAGCAAAACTGAAGACATCCTACTAGTCAAACCATTAAACCAGAATGTTGGTAACAATTACTAAAAACCTTGTTTTTGGGACTGACAGTACCAGGTTGTATTTTAAAATGAACCTTTGTTGCTATTCAGACAGCTGCAAACAGATATAAAATATGTTGAAATTACATTTTTAACCACTTGGGATTTCTACCATTCTCAAAACAAAACTTTGTGCACAACACAAATCAGCTTACATTTGACCTTTTGCACCAAATAACTGGGGTAGTGTCTCACTGTGGCAATAATGAATTTGTTGCTCATTGGGTTACACAACGGAAAAGTCAGAGATTGCATAACGTTTAAACCCAATGCCTCTGTATCAGAAAATCAAATTGACACACAACATAGATCACGCCAGTATATAAAGGAGAGGTTTATAAAAAAAGTTTACAGATGTACAAGGACAAATTAGATGATTTCAGCACTCCACTTAAAATGAATATCATTTAATAAAACGGCACCATGCAAATAGTTAGTGGTTTGCTTCCATAATGCTAAACTATGAGGAGTAGTTGATGTGCAGGAGGCCATGACAAAGAACTAGGACAGGAGGCAAGGCTGAGAGCTGCAGGCACAGGGTGACTGAAGGTGAGAGCAGACAGACTAGGAAAAGTCACGACAGTCCTCAGGCTACAGTATGCCAAACAATGTTAAAGTGAACTGACAACATTAGACCATTATATTGGCGTTATTTTATTAACAACGCCTAAAACAATGTTAAGTGAATCAATGTTAAGCAGGACTTAGCAGTCTAATAGAAAATGGATTTTTATTTCACAAAATTTTAGCTTTAGCAGCATAATCTGTCAGAAACAGACAAGAATAAAAGATTGGAGAATTTTAAACATAAATGAGTTTTGCCCATAACCACTTATGGTGGTGCTTTTCGCCATGTTTTACGTTGATAAAAGATGCATTTCAGAATTGGACTCCATCCTCCATGTCCCTGGTTGAAATAATAGAAATCTGTCAGTTTTAGGAAGGCTTTTCAAACTGCACTCCTTTTCTCAGATGCACAAACACAGATAGGCATCTTTTAAAATCTGTCATATTAAAATAAAATAGATTTTATGAGAAACTGATAGCTATATATCCACAAACCTATTCAATATAATTCCACGATGTCTTCAATCTGGTTACTAAGGTGGAGGATGTCTTGTTTAACGGCACAGAACCTGATCATGCACCTTGGCATCAGGTCAGGGGTGGGCACTGAGAGCCAACACACCCTTCTCCCTATGAAGCCCTGGGTCAATCCTTGAGCCTGGGCATCAAGTAGGTGTCACTTCAGCAAAAGGGCTGCTGCATCCAGAGGAGATTCCAATGCGATGGGATTTCTGCCACTGGGTATCTCAAATGAAGGGAAAGCCAGACACTAGTTACTGAGGTGTCTAAGTGGCACCACTGGTGGGGCTACCTGGAGGAGGCAACATGGGTGTCCACCAGGCTCTCTCACCAATAGACAAGACCCTGACACTTCCGTAAATCCAGCCGAAGATGTTTAATGTTACAGTTCCATGGACTATCAGATTGAATGATTCTAAATTGAACAAACTCTTGATTATAGAGGATGGTGGATCTGCTTATGCAAGAGACTGAATCAGTGAGAAGATCCAAAGCAAATATGAAATCTGTAAAAATACTCAACTGATGCATTTACAAATCAATCCAGGAAGAATGAATTCGCAGATCAATAAATCAATTAAATCTCTTCAAAAGATTTTGGACTCTTGATTTCTCCTCAGAGGGGTTAAATACGTGTAAGAAATGTAAACTGTCAGGGATTGCTCACCAGTGACCATGTGAGGGATGAAAGAATGAACTTGAAATCCAGGACTTAAACAGTAACTGCAATGTTAAATAGCAGAATGAGTTATCAACTTGCAGCAAAATAAGGATACTATGGTGGAGCCAATGTATAACTGAAACAAAAACACAACTGAACTAACTTTGGATTGTCATTCTACCCATGATTGATTGTAACAAAAACCCAAATGAACAAAGGCTTTTGGGTTATAGTTATAAAGCATTACCAACTTCGTTATTGCTTAAACTGCCTTGGGAAAGGATATGTTGGTAGTCTGACTGGAGCCTACAGGATTGTTCAAGGACATTCACACATTCTGCTGACAGCGCAAGATAAAGAAAAGGCAGTTGCTGAGCTGTGAGAAATTGAAACAAAAATCTATGCATATCTTTCTGGAAAGCAACAGATTTGGAAAGAAAAAGGGATAGGAAGCATCAGAACTTGTAGCGATGTTTTCTTGGCTCCACAAGAAGAACCTCACAATTTTCCTAGGTCAAGAGCGGTATTCCCCTTACACCCTGAGGTGCGCTCTTCAAAATAAGACAGTACGGCTTATCGTCAAACTCATATTTCTAATCGAATCAAAATCAGGTTCATATTTGTAAATTGAAGTCAAATGAATGAGGAACAAATATTTCTTTGAGATATACTGGTCCAAATTTTCCAGAACAGTTTGAGAATTATGTACTTATCTTTTGTGCAGGTTTGGTGAACTTCTGGGCCAGGAGCCTTTCCAGCTGAAGCAACGCAAATGAGCACGGAATGCACGAGGGCAGGAAGGAGAGTACTCACGTGGAAACCACTCCTACCATTTCAACACTGAGTGCTATATTCTGTGCTTTAAAGGTCCTTCAGCCACTCTGACAGCAACTGAGAGAAGGTAAGTGGGTAAAGTTAAGTGCAGGGTTAGAATGGCAGCTAGGTGGGGGTTAATATGGCAGCTGGGTGAGAGGGATAAGGAGATAGGGTGGCAAGTGGGTAGGAGGTTATTGCATCAGGTGGGTGGAGGGAATATGGTGACAGGTGACCAAGTGGGATAGGGAGCCGGCTGGGTCAGGGTAGGGTGGCAGTTAAGACTGAAGCATTGGGCTGTGGGTTGGGTCTGGGGATTTGGGATGTCAGTAACTGCTCATGGTAAGTTTCAGCTTCTTAGAGGATTCCAGTGGATTCTGCCAAGACTAGATTTCTGCACAATCCGGATGCATAACCCCTGTCTATGCTGCTGCAACAACTACCATCCTACCAGACAATTTGGGCCATTGATTTACATTTGCATTTACTGTCCCTAACCTTTCTGTGATTGCTCTAGTTATAAACAAACAATGTGATCAGAAACCTATTTGTCTATATTGCAACACAATACATGGTTTAACCATTGAGTCTGCTTTCTTCCTGAGCCTAGGACACCAGATAATTACAGCAATGGAAGACAAAAGGTATTAAGATGCATCAGTCACTTTGCTTGGACAAATCATAACAAACCCTAATGCCATGATCCCCCCCCACCCACCCAATTCCTCATTCTATGTACTTTCCCTTGCTTCAAATGTTGCTTTTAATCTACAATGGTTTCTGACTCAGTTATTCCTCTTGTTATTATCCACAAGACTGTAACTTCATATGCCCCTTGTCACAAACTCCTGAACCAGAGGTAAACAATATACGATAGCAGGTTAAGATGTTTTATCAGATATAGGACTCTTGAAGGAGTAATCAGATTTTACTATTTTTTTTTAAACTTAGTATTACTAAAAATTGCATGCTTCTCTGTGCCTTTGTTAATTTTTCTTTAAATCACTCAGGAGTCAGTTCATTTGTAGTTATAAAGTCAGCAAACTCTGTTAGTCATAAATACCTAAGTAATGTAAAAGATTACTGCCAAAATTCCACAGGACAATGATAGTGTGTGCTTATTTCTACCTAATATATTTGTTTGTTTATCCTTGGGGATTGGTTAGCTTAGTTGGCTGAATGGCTGGTTTGTGATGCAGAATACCCCAACAGTCAGAGTTCAATTCCTACACTGGTTGAGGTTACCATGAAGGTCCCACCTTTTTGAACTCACCATTTGCCTGAGGTACATGCAGGTAGTTCTCCTATAACACAATAGTTGTGTTGTTGTGTGGCCTTGCGCTATAGAAAAATCGCCATAGAAAAACGTGTTATAGGGAAATTGCTATAGAAAATTGCTATACTTGTACAGCAGAAAGTTTGCGTTATCCAAATAGCATCCACTATTCATCAATCACGTTACAGCCAATTCATGTTATAGCAGAGCTACCTGTAGTGACCAATGGGTTAAACTCACCACCAGCCATCCAGCTCTCTAGCGAGTGAGACTGTGGAATAATGTGAGACTAGTGCCATTGTTCTATGGGACTATGACAACTTTGCCTTCACTTTAGTTATTCTGCTTCTCCATTAACCAGAAATTATAACAGATTTCAGTGGAAATTCTGGCAACAAGCACATAATTCTGATCTTAGCAAATTGCAGACTTTTTTTTGAAAATGACTGTAATTACAAAGGTAATGAACACTGTCAGCAATAATGGTACATATTTTTGATTACCTTTTGTACAGCAGCCCGCTTTTCTTGTTTAGCCTTAAATTCAGCCAGGAGTCCACTGCCCATAACTTGCACCCCATACCAACGTCCACCTTGTGGGCTGCTCTTGCTGTCCAACCTCTCACTCTTCCCAGAATCCTCAAACACTACATCCACAGAATCAGGCATTTTGTGCTCGTCTGAATTTTCCGTGCTGCCATTTTGTTCCACCTGCTTGGAGTCCCTCCTAGTTAGGTCTGTAGCTGGACTTTTCATAACTCCTTTGGGCGACGCTGGCTCTTCTGGAACAATCACTGTCTGTGGCCGTTCAGTTTTACTGGACCGAGATTTGATTAAATTTAGGAAACTTGATTTTTTGGAGTCCTTCTTCTTTTTATCATCTGGATCACCAGAATCCAGGGACTCTGAGCTTCTCAGCGAGAGTCTCCTAAAAAGATGACATTTGAAAAAGTAATTTGCAAATATAAGTTTTCCATAGGCACATTGAGCTTGTGTCTAGACTTAACCAGCTGACCTTGTGCTCCAAGTCATTTAAGTATCATTAAGTAATCCAAGGAGAGTTAAGACATAAATGTTAATCTGTCTGCATTTGCTATCTTCTAGCCACCAGTAAGACAACTACAAACAAATCTGCTATTCACTCTGTGAATCAATGGAATTTGTGTTTTAATGACTTAGAAGAGGAAAGTTAACACAAACCACTCTTCCATCCTCAAGTACTTGCAAAATCTACATAAGTTGTTTTGATTGGTTTCTGAGTCAATGTTACATGTTCAGAAGTTAAAAGTGACATTAAAAAATGTAAATTTATAGGAAAATGAAATACTGGATTATTTTAGTTCCAAATTTGTGAACCAGTATTCATAAAACACTGGACAACAGTACTTTTGAGAATCAAGGGGTTTACAATTGATATTTCTAGACAGTTTGATGAATTGCACCATAATATGAATTCAGATAATTATTCTGCATTTTCATCCTGATTTGTATTAATTTTAGAAACCATTGTGATGAGCATCAATGTGGTGCAGTGTTCCCCTGAACTTACAGTGGAATTCTGAAAGGAGGGGAGGTGTCTCCTTTTGCCAACTTTGGTAGTATCTTCCTCATTTGACAAACATTATTTTTCACTCACTGGAGGTAGGTGAAATTCACAACACTAAATAAGGCACCTTTAAATTATGCTGCAATTTAACCTGGGAGAAGATTAGATAAAATCTTGAAAATAAAAGGTAATTATATTCTCACATATTAATACCCATGTTGCCTTTATTTGGATTCTAATATGATCGTGATGTTGGTCAAGAACCATTTGGGAAAGTTGCTGTCTTCGTATCCAAGTATATTTTTTTGTTATAAATTAATTCCCAAGATGTAGGGGGAGAAATGCGAAGCATTAAAATACGCCACTTTTCCCATTTGTGTACCAGAAAAATACTAATTATTTCACTTCAGATTACAGGCAGACCAAATTTAAATTAAATATAAATAATAATAAATGACGGCAGCATTAGCTAAGAAAGGGAACAGAGGCAAGAAGAGATAGACTATTTTTGTGTGGGAGTGGAATTATGGTCACAATGAAAACAATCATGTACTTTGTCTTCAAGCCAATCACATGATAATACAGAATGGAAGGTTAGAAGACATTTAACTAACAATGCCATTCGGACTAATTTGCTATCAGATCAAGATGCTAAGTGTTTAGTAGAAGCACGAAAGTTATTCCAAATTGCTGCCTTTTAGAGTGTAGTGCACAAGAAACAGTTTTACATTTCCCTGCCAGTGTTCAATCTAGCTAAAGGGTAATCTAAGAAATTCTAAAATCCCCATTTTTTTCTCATTTTGACTAGATTTAAATTCAAGTTTTGTATCTAAATAATGACAACATGTAGTAATACAGCACTATTTATGTAACGAAATGTTCCAAGATGTTTCACAGGAGATATATAAAACAAATGATGACATTGAGAATTTTAGGTCACGTAACCAAAATCGTGGTCAACTATGTAGGCTTCAAGAAGTGTCTTAGAAGAAGAAAATGAGGGGTTTAGGGAAGATATTCCAGAGTTTAGGGACTAAGCAAATGAAGGCACAATGGGGGAGCAATTAAAAATCAAAGGAGTTCAAATGTTAAAATTAGAGCAACCCAGATATCTTGGAGGGTTGCGTGGCTGAAGATTGCAGAGATGGGGAGAGGTGAGGCTATGCAGGACCATTTCAAAGGAAGAATAAGAACTTTACAATCAAGCCTTTGCTTAACCACGAATCAGTAAATGAAGAATCAATGAAATAAACTATGCAAAGAGGCCAAGGATCTATACTCAACAAAAGAATACACTTTTTTCCATAGAAGAGGCTTTAGATGCCTCTGAAAGCTCAATTTTCTGTAACAAGTGAAACTTTGATTGAACGTTCAGGAATATTGAAGGAGTTGGATCTCATAACAAAGTTGGCTGAATCCTGACCAAAGGAAAGCAGATTTACTTCATCAGATCTTGCTCAAACTTACTGCAGTTATTGTCTTGAAATGAAAGACAACCAAGATCAACACATAGTACATGCCATTAAACCTTCTGGTAGCTAGAATTGTCAGGGACAAGTTCATGTTTCAGTTATTATTGCTGGCACTGGATATCGAAAAGGGAACTCTGATCACTTGCAAACATCTGTCCTGCAATTTGAGGAACCTTTCACTGGATAAATACAAATGTTGTGTGATATAAGATTATATTGTGTATTATTTATGAACTTGGATGCCAAAGTCATGTTAAATGGGGTTTTGGTTTTCAGTGCTGAAGATTTGATCTGTTTCTTTTTATAGGGTCAGGAAGTAATTTGGAACAGTGAGCCAAAGACAACCTAAGAAATCATGTGACTGCAGCTAAATGACTCAACAAATTACTTTTGTGAGCTAACTACTGCTTACTGTTGACTTAAGCTTTTATAACAGAGAGAGTGCACGCGAGAGAGAGAGAGTGAGAGAGAGACAGCACGCGCGCAAGAGAGAGCACACGCAAGAGCGAGCAAGCGCGTTGGCCAGAGCCTGCAAGCAAGTTGTGTCTAGAAGAAATGATCCATTCCAGCAGGTACAAAGCTTTTAGTTTGTACAAATTCTTAGGCTAGAACTGGAAAGATGTCCTAAAAAGTTTTAGCAACCATAAAGTAGTCAAAGTCAAAGAAAAGTCATTGAGATAGCCAGTCTGTGTATCTCAGAGAAAGATAGAGAGCCTCACATCTAGTGAATGTGCAGAAAATGACTAAAAGGAAATGTCTGCTACCTTACTCAGTTGAGTGAGAAATTAATGAATGAAGAGAAGAGTGATACTTCATGGGGGTTGATTGGGAAAAAAGGTTGTATCTTTCTTCTCCTTGTTATTGATAAACTCTTTCAAAATGCCACATATCCGTTCCTTTTTAACTTTTCTTTTGTGTAATTATCTAAGTTGTTTTGTTTAAATATGTGAATATGTTCAGTGAGTGACCAACATGGCAACCAAATTGCAAAAAATAAAACTTATTGCCTATCAAACCACGAGATTCACTCTGGAATCTGACTTGATAAGCGTTCCATCAGCAGGGATCATGATATCTGCGATTTGTAAAATAAGGTTGTTCATAAAAGCAGTTTGAATCCATTTGAATCTCTTTTGAAAATGCTCTGAGGAATTTGGGAAGAGGCTTGGCATTTTTTTTTCTGACAGTTTGACTAAGGATGTCATTTAGCATTGGCTGGTCTATTATTTGTGGGGCCAATAAATGAAAAGGGAAATATGGAAACTATTTCATGGATCAGTATTAACAATTGCCAGTATAATATTTAGTGTCAAAATGATTGTTACGTGAAATGAGTTTTGACAAGCCTAGGCATGGCTAAAAATTTTGAATAAAAGATCAGCATATGCTGGAGAGACTCTGTAGATCAGGTAGACATAGGAGTCACTCGATGGTTCAATCTAAGAACTTTCATTAGAACTGAAATTATTCATAAATGTTTCTTCAATTAGATGTAGAATTTATAATCATATAATCAAGAATTAAAAATATGCCAATTAACATCTACTTAATTAAGTTTGTATTTGAATCCATTACTTTCAACTCTCAATGGAATCACGTGAATTCATGTAGCTGAAATATAAAAACTTACTTTGACTCCATTCGTGTTACCTTCTTGGTGAAAAATTCATCCACCCCCTCATCAATTCTACTCATAAGGCCATTCTGTTCACCCTCCTGGGAATCTGCTGTGGAAAGCTGATAGAGAAATTCATTGCTTTAATTTTAGTTCAGAAATATGAATCTTGTAGAAGGCACTTTTTTCAAAACAGTTTATACAAGTCAGGTTGTAAATCTCAGTCTGTGATTTACAAGGCTCAATGTCATCATCTACAAACTCAGCTACTGTTTCAAGTGCATGTTTTGGCAGACTTTGGCCAAAGTTGCGAAATGGGAGCCCATCTTTGGAGTCTTAAAGAACATACAAAGAATAATGTGGGTCCATTGTGCAAATTTGGTCATTTGCAAGAGATGGGCATCTATCACAAAAAAAAGAATAAAACTGAATGCTAATTCCCATCGCAGGTATTTGATATGTCTTTTCTCACTTTTGGACCATAGTTCAATAACTATGCACAAATTAAAATCCTGCATTTTAGGGGAAGAAGAAAATGAGGGGAATAGAACAATATTTGGGATATTCCTTTTCAAAAATTCACATCAATCTGTGGGATGGTCTTGCTAAATCCACTACATGTATATTTTGGTACTGGACCACAAATTTTGACCAAAAATGGAAAAAGAAAACTCAAAACAACCCAATTCAAGTTTCATCAGCATACTAACTGGTGTGGAGTGAAGCTTTACATATATAGACAAAACAGTAGTCACGTCGGATTATGTTAATGGTAATTAATCTAACAATTTTACTTGTTTGTTTAATCCACGCAGAGAAGTGGGACCAAAAACAGCCCAAATTTGCAAAAAGGAAACTATGATGAGCCAAGTAAAATTCAACATTAATTTTGTGGAACAGAAAGAATGAGTTTTGACTGCAACTTTATGCAAATGTCAAAGAACAATTTCACATTTGCTATTCACATTTGAACCTAACAATTGTACATAGTTGGTTTAAGAATAGGCTGGCGCAAGAACTAACTTCTAAGGTGACTAATAAACATCACGACATTCCCAAGCCCTTATGAACTTGTACAACTGGGTGGTCATCCACTGAATTTATGGTCAGCACCAGGTGACAGGTTACAATTGATGCGACAAGAATTGTTGTGATTTGACAGATCACAAGAAAGGATGAATGAGGCAAGTTAAGACAGCCAGAACTACTTATTTTAATGGGTGATAATATTAAACACGACACAATGTAAACTATTTCTCAGTTGGAATAACAGGCTTTGAAATGCAACAATGATCGATTACTGCAGAAAGCAAGCCCTGGTGATTCTTGTCCTACTCAGATGGCAGTTGCAGTCACACACATTTCAGTGAAGAAATATTAGTGGAAGTGCAGCTGTCTCATTTTCTGTTTCTCACAGACTCAGGAGGAGAACAATTATCTGACCATGGCTTTTTGCTAAGAGCCATTCCTTTCCCTCCATTTCTGCCTTTCAGCAGTTGGCCCTACTCTGCATGGCTTCTTTACATTTTAAGTCATGCTGTAATCCAGGGGGAATGCCTACTTTTGCATACATGTTTGAGAGCTACTGGGGTTGTGCAGACACCCTGAAGACAATTTAAAAAAATCCTTCGGCACCTGCCATGCTACACTTTGGAGCTTTTTGCTATTTAAAACAACTATAGAAAGTAACAAGTATTTGTAGAATCATTGCAACCAAAACCAGCCATTTGTTAACCTGCAAGTAGTTAATGGTCTGCCACAAAAACACTGGCATGGATGAGGAGTTCCTTCTATCTTTTGTGTCTCAATGTCAGCAGACACTAAAATCTCAAATACAGATCTCACAATATTGACAAAAATAGCAACCTTTAAGATCTAAAAACTAACTACTTATTAAGATACATTTCCACAAGGTACAATTAACATTCCAATTGCTTTTGCTATCCTGAAGCCATTCTTTTTGAATATCATTATCACACGTTCTGTACAGAGGATCTCACTCCACCATGAAGAAATTTGACAACTACTTTTCAGGTAAAAACTGCTGCCCTGATAACGTACATGCTTATTAATGAGCGCATGAGAACAGTTGTACCATGCTGATATTGGGCATAACTAATCAGTGTTCTTACATGAATTAGAATAAGAATTTCAACTGTATAAGTATTAATTCATTGAACACTTACAGCTGTCTTGCTGGGTGGTAACTTCTTGTTCCTCTTGGGTCTCGATTTTGTATAATGCTCCAGTTTCTTTACCTCTTCTGAGGGTAGTTCAGTCATCATACTGCTGGGCCGTGATGACCGTTCTTGCTTGCTGTAGATACTTGAAACAGGAGTTGACTCGTCAAAATGGACTGGGATCTCCTCCAGGGCCCTATCCAAGTCAAACTCCATTTCTGCACAAAAAAAACCCCCAGAATCCATTACAATAATTAAATAGGCAATACTGAAACAATTTATGTTGTTTTATTTAGCAAGTGTTTAATATTTCATAAATAGAAAATACATCTGACCAAGTCCACAGAGAGACAAATATTGGGAAAGGAGAACATTTTAAAAGTAAAGTAGAACTTTTGAGCCAGTCAACAAGTAGTGACAAGTGAGTATGATTGTGTCAGTTAGGTATGGTGATCTATGATGCAATTTCTTTTATTCATTCACAGGATGTGGATGTTGCAGGTTAGGCCACATTTATTGGGCATCGCCAGGCAGTTAACAGCCAACCAAGTGGGTCTGAAGTCACATGTTGGCTGGACGAGGCAAGGGCAGCAGTTTCCTTCCTCAAGGGACATTAGCGAACCAGATTCTTATTTCCAGAATTTTACTGAATTCAAATTCCATGTACCATGGTGGCGTTCAAAACTGGGACCCCAGAACATTGCCTGCATCTCTGGGGGATCTTTGGCCTTTGATTTAGTCAAATAGGTACAAGGTACTTGCTATCTGTGATGAGAATAGAACTACAAGGTAATGGGTTAAATGATCATAATACCATGATGCGGGAGACCATTCAAGTGGGAGAATTGGAAACGAACATGGTAGTAATAAAGTACTGTATAGTTAGTTCTGTTCAGGTTATGCTGCCTGAATAAAGACATCTCCTTGCAGCTGGAGAACAACTTTTGGAGTCATAGGAGAAGGGTGAGGATAATTTTTTCATGGTCTATGTATGAACCAATAACATTAGCACAACTAAGATTGAAGTTAAAGTTAAAAGTAAGCAAGTTAAAAAGAAGTACCTCAGAAGTAGTGATCTCTAGATTGATACCTTACCCATGCATGAATTGGTAGAGGGATAAAGAAATTCGAAGTTTAATTCCCTTGCCTTGAAAGATGGTGGTTTTGCTTCATGGGCCTTTGCAACAAAACTGGTTAAAATGGGAGTGGTTCCAAGGGTTCTGCCTAAACAGGACTGGGACCAGTGTCTTGACAAATTGGGACCCAGGGTTTTACACTTATAAAGAGGGGGTTTGAAAGATTTAGGAAAGGGCGTATTCAAAAGCAGCTTTGGAGAAGTGTTCTGGAACAAATAACCATTGCAAATTTGTCTACAATGAAGTCAGCCCCTTCATTGAAATCATTGATATAATCATTAGTAGTTGAGGCCCCAGCACTGATCATAGCAGCACTCTATTAGGTACAACTTAAGTTGAAATTATGATGCATTTATTCCAATTTTGTTTCTTATTAGTCAATCCTCTATCCATACTGATATGGCACCTTCAATACAACAAGCTCCTGTTTCATTAGAAACCTTTTTTATTGGGCAATCTATCAAAGTTTTCTTTGGAAATCCAGGTACATTAGATCTACTGGTCCCCCTTTATCCACCCTACTTTTTAACATTCTCAATGAACTCTAGGTAAATTGTAGAACATGATTTCCATTTCACTAAACTATGTTGACTCTGCCTGACTATATGATCTTCTAAATGTTCTGCTACTACATCTTAATTGTAAATTCTTGCATTTTTCCCATTATAGGTGTTAGAGCAACTGGTTTAGAGAGATAGTAGGAACTGCTGATGCTGGAGAATCTAAGACAACAGGTGTAGAGCTGGATGAACACAGCAGGCCAAGCAGCATCAGAGGAGCAGGAAAGCTGCCGTTTCGGGTCTGGACCCTTCTTCAGAAAGAAGTTCTGAAGTTTTCTGAGAAGGGACCAGACTCGAAACGTCAGCTTTCCTGCTCCTCTGATGCTGGTTTAGAGAGTCCTGTTTATTGTCTTCATTCTCAATTTCCATAGTGGAAAGAACTTATGATCCCTATAGTAATGTTGGAAAGGAATCTTTTTATAAACTTCTAAAGCTCAATGAAATGCAGCCAAACTATCCCCAAAATATATGTAGAAAAGCAGCCTTTTAGAAATCTCTTTAAAAAACATAAAGCTACCACTCAAAACATAACTCCTTCCATTTGCCCCTGTTGAAGTGAACCTGTTACTGTGGTCTGAAGCCAAGCATTCATAGAGATCTCACTGCACAACAATGTCAATATAGCCTCCAGTGATAAATACATTTAAACCCCTGAAGAGTAGAGAAAATAGCCATCTGCTGCATTGCTTCAAAGGCTGAACAAATGTCTGTTGTGATTAAAACACAGGGTGCAAATGACACAGTAAAATCTGAATCATCACAACATTGTTCGATGTAGGATAGCACTATATCAACAGATAATGTACTTTGATGCATCTGAAGACTTTCCCATTTTTAGAATTCTAGTCAATTTAATGGTCACTTAGCATTTCTAAACCGAACCCTACAAAATTCACCTCATTAAGAACATATTTAACATACATAATTATTTTTTAATGAGTTGGCAATAGCTTTAAACCTGTGTCAAAAATTTCTGACCTCCATATTGAGGATTCCCCCATGGTTACTAAATCCACTGAGATTCCTTGAGTCATAGTGCCACCTAATTCCATGAAAAATAGCTAGGTGTCCAAAATCCCAGTCCTAATAGTGCAGCCAGACCTGGATATAAGCTGGAAATGTGTTATCTTATGTTGCCAAAAATAGCTGACAAAAGGAATGGGGATGGGATTTTGAGAATCTGGACCAACCCATCACTCTTATAACCTAACCAACTTAATTGCAACATAGGTGGAAGATTGAACATCTGGTCAAGTAATCCAAACCCATATCCTTTCCTGTCCTGACCAACATTCATCCTCAACCACAACCATCAAACACATGGTCAATTATCGCATTTTTGTATGATCTTGTTTTGTAAACATGAGCTGATATGTTTGCCAATAAAATAAGTGACAACATCTTAATTCACTTGGAGCCCATGGGAATATCTAGTGACTCAAGACAAAAACAAGATTCTTCCTTCTTTGTTATCCATCCCTCTGTCTCTTACATTCATAATTTCCGCTGTGCTATGATCCCCACTGATGATACCACTGAATAAAATAGAAATACTAAAGAACTTCGGGTGCTGGAAATCAGAAACAGAAATTGCTGGAAAATGTCAGCATCTGTGGAGAGAAATCAGAATTAATGTTTTGGCTCGAGCCACCCTTCCTCAGAACAGGGGAAGGGTCACTGTTCTGAAGAAGTGTTACTGTACCCGAAATGTTAACTCCGATTTCTCTGCACAGATGCTGCCAGACCTGACAAGATTTTCCAGCAATTTCTGTTTTCAATATTACTGAACAAAGTCAGTTCCAGAATGAAATCTAGTTCGATACTTCATATATTTGTCTATTTCATTTTTGTTAACATAGTAGTCAGTTACTGAAGGATAATCACTGCTGAGTTTCTTAAATAGAAGTGTACTACACAAATGAGCAAAAAGCTAAATACAGAACATAGTTTGAATGTTCTTAAAATGTACAGCAGAGTCTTATCCCGTTTCCCAAAATTATCTGTTACACAGACTCAAATCCAGAGAAATTACCCTTTTATATCAAATTCGTAAGTTTGACTTAGTTGATTTTCCTCAGTTTTCTCACATGAGTATGCTCAACACTGAAAGCTTAGACATTTCAATTTTTAGTAACGTGACGGTGTCTAAGCAAAGATGGCCGATTTGAAAATTTACAAACTAAAAACTTTTCGGAGGTAACTGTGCATTTCGTAAACTGGAGAAGAACTATATTTGCTTCTGACTTCAGTCAAGTCTCTTGAGTTTCTTAAGTTAAAATCAAGCCTTGGATTATTCTGAACCAAACAAAGAAATGGTATTTAATGTTTACCTACCTGTTGTAAATCATCCAGTAAAAACAATTTTCCATTAAAACTACAGGGGATCCTTGTTCTCTGACATATGCCAGATTAGGTCACTGTTCCGGAACGACAGTCTAACCTAGTTATTGTCTAACCTAGTTATTGTCTAAACCCTTCATAAAAATAATTAACCACAAATTCTAAAAATGATGTTAATATGTAGATCAAACAGCTTTCATCGTGGCTGGTTCTTAATGATTCACTTTTTCCCTGCTGATGACTAAGATTCAAGTCTTCCTATTTTCAGTTCAAGTTTGAGTCCTATCTGGACAGACTTATCATTTTGCTCTGGTCTAGGAACTGTGTGACCTACCCAACAGCTCTTCAATATAAATCCAATCCAATTTATTCTTTTGGTGTTACTTGTTCAGTTTTCCACCACAACTCTTTGCCCTACTCTCCTTCTGTCAATATCTAAGAAACTGAACCATCATCTTCGTCCAAATATCCTGCTTGCAAGCAAGACTCACCTTGATTATAATATCATTGTGAATGAATCCACCAATAGTCTGGAGCATGACCAAGCTACAACTTTTTAGAAATATTTAATATTCTAATATTTTATTATTGATGGGATATTTTATCATCACTGGCTGCCCTGCCTGGCACTTTTCTAGTCCAAACAACTGCTCTGTGAATTCCTTATCAGCCAATCATTTTGTACCATGAGCATTTGTTTTATGTTTAAGAATGTCCTTCATTACATCTCTGCCACAGAGACGCTGAAGAGTGCCACTGTACCGCCCCTAAATTTGAGTTTGAGTTGTGTCAAAATTTTTGGAGTGCTTTCAGTGTGATAATAAGTAAAGTTTCTCACCCTGTCCAAACCACCCTCAAGGCCTCCCTTTTGTCTGATTCTATCCCCCTTTTTACACACGGTATACTTTGTACAACTCGCTATTTAGTGGAAATCTGCCAAAAGACTAGCACCCTGCCAACTGTGCCAAATTTAAGTGATGACCTGAATGACCACTGGAATTCCAAAGCTTCCCCGCTTGTTGACGGATGCCATGCAAAGATGTTGGCAAAGTAGATGATGATGCTACAGTTCTCTGATGCAGTCCTGGAGGTAATGGTAAAGGGGCAGTGCAGAGGAGAGACCTTCTCTTTCTGTAGGGTGACAGTGCATTGTTTATAAGATAAATTTGATTGTTTTGCACTTTATCTGTTTAACTCTCTGCATAGTCCTGAATCTAGCTGTGCCAACATGATGCCTGAATTCATGCCCATACTATGGATACACTATGGATCAATATCAGTTTTGACAGCCTGTTAGTCAAACTAAGATGAACAAGGCCAATGCGTTCTGATAACACAATTGCCCCTCACGCTACAACATCCCTGTTCTTTCCCTGGCCTCTCTGTGCAAAGGTCTGTGTGCAACGTTGTTAAAAGGGTCTCATATCAGTAGGTTTCACTGTCCCCACCCTCTCAGTCCCTCTGGATGTAGTTAAAGCTATTTTCCTTCCCATTGTTACCATTCAAATTCCAGCAGGGTGGAAGGTGACAGTGAGCAATGTCTGGACTATAGTTTGCAGGCACTGCCTCGACATGAAACACCAAGTGCCCTTCCTCATATCCCTTCTTGTGAACCCCAGAAGACATGCACCTCCCCAGGTCTCCATCAATCCAGTAACATGTGCCATTCATCTGCCCACCTTTACTCCTGCACCCCCATCCCCAGCCCCGCATACAAGAGGGGGCCAGTCCTCCCTTTGAAGCCAGGTTGCTTCTAACCATGGATGAGCAGCCCTCCTGCATTGCTCTCCCAGCTTTCCAACTAAAGTCACTTAAGCCCTAGTGTAAGAAGATCTTGAATTACTGTTTCAAAGGTAGCCTGTCTACTTCCTTCGTTTCCCCAAATTTGATAACACATTATGGTTTCTTCTCATTATTCTTTATCCAACTAAATGTTAGCAACAGAAAAGCCATTATTGTTTGATGCAAATACTTCAGTTTCTATTGGTTCTATTCACCCTCATCAGCTACTCACTCAGTCTGAGCCCATGTTGTAAGGCTTCCATCACATTCATCAGCAAAATTGTTTTTACCTACCTTCACACTTATCCATCCTCATCTCATTCCTACCATTGCTGAAACTCTTATAATGTCTCTGTCACTTTCTATTATCAATTTTGAACCTCTGTTGATCTTAAAACCTTTTCTCAAGTTACCTCCTACCCTCGCCATTTCAGTTGATTGATTTAAATTTCTTCATATTCAACTAAATTGCCTTAGGTATGTTTAATGAATGATGATGACTATACCCACAGAATTGTTTAATGATCTACCTCACTCTTGACTTGCTGAAACCAAACTAAATTTGGAAGCTTTTGCTTCCGTCATTCAGATTTCTGTGACTGAAGCTTCTTGTGTGCGCATTGTTACTTTCATTTATCAACCTAGTTTCCGTCCTTCAAAATATCTATGACAATGCATAAAGCAAACACCTATCTTCTTCAAGTGCCTTAAATGTTGAATGTGTGAATATAAGAAATAGGAACTGGAGTATTTGATGCTTTGAGTCTGCTTTGCAATTAAAGATATCACCTGCAGTTCCACCATTTCTCACTAGACCTATATTCTGAATTCCCTTAGTATTAAAATAAATTTACCAATTAACTGAATATATCAAACAACCATTGAGGTAGAGAATTCCAAAAATTTACAGCATTTTAAGTGAAGAAATTGCTTACCTCAACCCCCAAATTCTGATCCCTTTTTCTAAGAGGATGATCCTATGTTTAAGTTCACCAGCACAGGGAGACATTTTCTCAGTCTGTAACACGTCAAATGCTTTAAGAATTTTAAATGGTGCAACTGAATGCATCTCGCTGTTTGAGACTTTAGTGAATATAAGTCTAAGTCTACTCAATCTTTCTGCTTAGGACAAATGTCTCACCATAGGGATCAGTCTAGTGAACCTGCACGACAATCTCTTGGGCTGAAATATCCTTTCTCTAGTAAGGAGACCAAAATGGTATAAGTGAATAACTTCATACTTTACATATTGCATTCCATTTGCTCACAGAACCTAAATCTCTTTCCCACCAGCTCTTTATATCCTTCACATAGCTGATTTTACCACTGGCACTGTATTGTCAGCAAACCTGGATACTACGTTTACCCAAGTCTATTTATATTGATTGTAAATTAAAGCAGCGCAAGAACTGATTCTACTGCCCTATTACTTACAGTCTGATGGTCCAAGAATGACCTATTTATTCCTAGTCTTTGTTTTCTGTCCATTGAGCAACCCTCAATCCCTTCAAATACATTACAGACAATGCCATAAATCCTGAGTTTGAATCATAACACCTTAATCAAATGCTTGTTCAAAATTCAATTATCTGAACATACAAGGAAATGCATTTGGAGGGAAACCTGATTACATTAAAAGTTGAAAACTATACAAATAACAAAACGTAATGTTGTTTTTGAAATATTTTTGCAAATTGCCTAATACAATAATACAAATACACACACATTTATTCAATATGCACTGAAGACCAGTGGGAATTGCTACAAATACTGAAAAGGGACTCTGCTGTCATTAAACTTTCATACACAAGAGAGAAGAAGGAAATTTGACAGAGGCATCATTCTTCCAAAGAAATGTGGTTTTATTACCAATTGATAAAGCAATATTTGTGTGTAATGGTTGCAGAAATCTCATCCCTCCGCACTGCATTTATTGTATTTCAACTTTTATTTTGTTCCTTTCATTGAATATATTAAAATTGGAGAAAATTGAGCCAAATAGTTCAACATTTTTACAGAAAAATTAATTTGGAAAACAAAATCATCATGGTCTGTTTCTCATTTTTTAAAAAATAACTTTCTTTCAATCTGTTAAATTTCTGTGAGTATGCTAAAGTGGACAATTAAATAAATATTTCTTTTTGTGATAATCTGACCATAAATTTAAAGAGAACTGCAGTCCCAAACAATAAAGGATATCTCAAAATGCTCGATTTGAATCTTTATTTTATTCAAACAGTGCTATTTAATTGTTTATCTTAAAAATTAAACTTTAGTTGTGTTTGTAAAAGTTTTTTTTGAAAAAAGGAATCAAAACAGAATAAAAATGGCTTAATTTGGATAAACTGAACACAGGTTAAAACTGCTTCACCACCCACCACTAGATGGAAGTGTTTATACAATGAGCACCTCACTGGAGTCTTCAGCCGGAAGTAAAACCAAATTATTGAAGATGTTGTGATTTATCATGAATGAATCTATCCAATCCCTGTTCCACCTGAAACTCGTGTAGTTACAAAATACTCCAGTGACATTGGAAAAAGAGACTTCTTTATTAGTGCAAAATATCGGATGGCTTTTTCAACTCGGTATTTAGCGGAAAATTACTTGAGGAAAATTAGCACAATTTTAGTCGTCATTTTCTTTAACTTGTTTTCTGACAATATTTCGAATAACTCTTTCCTTAGAATCACATGGAAATATATCTGAAAACTAAATTTAAGAATAATGATCAACATGACCAGATTTTACTTCTACACAAAAACTAAATCAAACATTTGCTTATTCATTTACCAAATGCTCTGGAAACAGGGCGGAGCATTCTACTGTGGATACTTTTCCTCTTCGACTTGGGAGTCATCTGCCACACAAAACAGAAGCGCAGTTAATCAGTGGAGTATAAATTCTAAAACAATGTATACTGTGGCTATATCGCAAATATCATTTTAGACCATAAAGTGAGTGTTGACTGAATTTGCTTTTGGATGCAATGACACTCCTAAATACATACATAGGCTTCAAATACATTTTTTGTTTTAAAGCTGCACGCTCCTCCGTGCAACATTAAATGGCCAAAATATCCTGTGCACATTTTATTTAGAGAAATTGTTCAAATTTGACTCATTATAATAGAGTAGATGTTGAGAAGATGTTCCTAGTAGTGGGGGAATCTCAAACAGGAGAACATATTTACAGATTAAGGGGATACTTGTTTAAAACTGAGATGCAAGGGAATTTCTTTTCCTAGAGGGCAGTGAATGTCTGGAATTCTTACTCCAGAATGTTCTCCAGAGCATGAAAATGTATTTAAAGAAAAGGTAGATTTTTTGAAACATCAGGGAGTTGAGAACTGAGGTCCCAGCATGAAAGAGGCCTTGAAGACTGGGGCAGATCAGCTATGGTCTTGTTAAGTGACAGGTTGAGATTGAGGGGCCAAATGGCTTTCCCTTGCTCCTTTTTTAAAATGTGCTTTTAACACAAATCAGAAAGTGAAGACCATGGGACCATTTTCCCCTAAGAATCAAAATCTGCTAACTCAACAAAGTAGCACTGAAATAAAAGCTGCATTTCCTTTTATATGTATTCTTCATTTTGGAATGTCTAAGTAAACATTGTGTCCTAGTTTTTTGTTCCCTATTTTGCAATCTGATATCATATGTCAACAAGGTGATGTTTTACCCAGGCTTGCAAACCAGGAGCCTGCATCGAAATTGTACTTCCATTCTTGATTAGAACTGAAATCAAAAAGTTGAAAATGCATTTGGTGATAAAGGCAACTCACTACAAAGGGCAACAAACTCCACGTAAAGGCATGAAATAAGGAATCTCACCTCCTGTCACAGTGTTTCAGTCATCTGTTCAGCACAAACAAGTAACTAAAACATACTACAATTCAACTACATATCAGCAAAATGTTAAAATCAATTTTGAGCAAAACTACAGCTGTTATCTATTCAAACGGTCAATTCAATGTTGAAGTAACACAAACCTCTACAAGGGGCATGAGATGCAAGGAAGAACATTAGTTCTCATTTTTAAACAAATGAAGCATTATTTTACATTAAAAATATTAGACATACCATTTAACTTCACTATATAAGTACTAAACATTATAAATGGCACCAGAAGTCGTGCAGGAATTGCTTAAAGCAGCAGCAAAGCATTCAACATCAAGCATTTTTAAAGATGGAACCATCCATATGGGTTGACCACAGCTTATTCAACTTCAATTTCAATCCCAGGTGAAGTATTAACAGTCCAAAAGATTTGACTTTCCAGGTTTCTAATAAGCCTGAATCCATCTGTATGCTCCAACAAATGTTCCACCAAGAAAAGTGGTGTTCGTCTCTGAAGAAGCAACTGTAAACGCTGAAATAACTGGCCTACAAGATCATATTTCTTTGTAGCCATGAATTGAAAACTAATGAATAGTCTTTTTCAGTTCGATTGGCAAGCTCTTTTGATAGAAAGTTGTTGAAATGCCAGTAGCAGATTCAGTTTGGCAGAAAGAAAACTTCAGCTGGTCTGTGTGTGAACAGTCAAGCTTTCCCATAGAAACTCCGAGGAGTGTTGCGCCACATCTATCACCTCAATTGCAAATGCAGATCTTGTGTGCTTGAGATTTGAAAAGGTCAATCAATTTGTAGAATTAGAAAGGTAGATCATTTAAGTTTTCAACCAAAAATGAAGGGTCACAACTGTGAACTCTGTTGTGTGTACACAAAATTCAAAGCTCATGAGTATAAATGTGGTACTCCCGATTCTGAACCGTCCAAGTTAATAAGGTGGCCCATTATAGGACAGAAGAATAATCTTCTACACCAGAGGGCACTGAGTTGTAACTTCGAGTTGTAAAAAAAAATGCAGGAAGGCAGTGCAGGTGTCCCCTGCGGTCATCTCCCTCAAAAACAGGTATACCGTTTTGGATACTGCTGGGGGAGATGGCTCACCAGGGGAAGGCAGCAGTAGCCAGGTTCATGGCACCATGGCTGGCTCTGCTGTACAGAAGGGCAGGAAAAAGAGTGGAAGGGCTATAGTCATAGGGGACTCGATTGTAAGGGGAGTAGATAGGCGGTTCTGTGGTTGAAAACGAGACTCCCAAATGGTATGTTGTCTCCCAGGTGCACGGGTCAGGGATGTCTCAGATCGACTGCAGGACATTCTGAAGGGGGAGGGTGAACAGCCAGCTGTCATGGCGCATATAGGCACCAATGATATAGGTAAAAAATGGGATGAGGTCCTACAAGCAGAATTTAGGGAGTTAGGAGTCAAGTTAAAAAGTAGGACCTCAGAGGTCGTAATCTCAGGATTGCTACCGGTGCCATGTGCTAGTCAGAGTAGAAATGAAAGAACAGGCAGGATAAATGAGTGGCCTGAGAGATGGTGCAGGAGGGAGAGGTTCAGATTCTTGGGACATTGGGACCAGTTCTGGGGGAGGTGGGACTATTACAAATTGGACGGTCTACACCTGGGCAGGACTGGAACCAATGTCCTAGGGGGTGCTTTTGCTAATGCTGTTGGGGAGGGTTTAAACTAATGTGGCAGGGGCATGGGAACCAAATGAGGTGGTTAGTGGACAGTAAGGAGGTAGTAACTAAAGCCTGTAGGGAACTAGATAATGAAGTCAGTGCGACTAAGGGGAAGATAGGCAGAGCAGACGATGAACGCAAAGGGACAGGTGGTCTGAGGTGCATTTGTTTTAATGTGAGAAGTGTAGTAGTTAAGGCAGATGAACTTAGGGCTTGGATTAGTACCTGGGAGTATGATGTTATTGCTATTACTGAGACTTGGTTGAGGGAAGGTCAAGATTGGCAACTAAATATCCCAGGATATAGATGGTTCAGGCAGGATAGAGAAGGAGGTAAAAGGGGTGGAGGAGTTGTATTACTGGTCAAAGAGGATATCACAGCTGTGCCGAAGGAGGGCACTACGGAGGACTCGAGCAGTGAGGCAATATGGGCAGAGCTCAGAAATAGGAAGCGTGCGGCAACAATGTTGGGGCTGTACTACAGGTCTCCCAATAGCGAGCGTGAGATAGAGGTACAAATATGTTTACAGATTATGGAAAGATGTAGGAGCAACAGGGTGGTGGTGATGGGAGATTTTAATTTTCCCAACATTGACTGGGATTCACTTAGTATTAGGGGTTTAGATGGAGCAGAATTTGTAAGGAGCATCCAGGAGGGTTTTATGGAGCAGTATGTAAATAGTCCAACTCAGGAAGGGGCCATACTGGACCTGGTATTGGGAAATGAGCCCGGCCAGGTGGTTGAAGTTTCAGTAGGGGATTACTTTGAGAATAGTGATCACAATTCCATAAGTTTTAGAATACATGTGGACAAAGACGGGAGTGATCCTAAAGGAAGAGTGCTAAATTGGGGGAAGGCCAACTATAGCAAGATTCGACAGGAGCTGGGGAATGTGGATTGGGAACAGCTGTTTGAGGGTAAATCCACACTTGATATATGGGAGGCTTTTAAAGAGAGGTTGATTAGAGTGCAGGACAGACATGTCCCTGTGAAAATGAGGGATAGAAAGGGCAAGATTAGGGAACCATAGATGACAGGTGAAATTGTGAGACTAGCAAAGAGGAAGAAGGAAGCATACATAAGGTCTAGGCGATTGAAAACAGACGAAGCTTTGGAAGAATATTGGGAAAGTAGGACCAATCTGAAACGAGGAATTAAGTAGGCTAAAAAGGGGACATGAAATATCTTTAGCAAACAGGGTTAAGGAAAATCCCAAAGCCTTTTATTCACACATAGGAGCAAGAGGATAACTAGAGAAAGGGTTGGCCCACTCAAGGACAAAGGAGGTCAAGTTATGTGAGGAGTCAGAGAAAATGAGTGAGATTCTTAATGAGTACTTTGCGTCAGTATTCACCGAGGAGAGGGACATGACGGATGTTGAGGTTAGGGATAGATGTTTGATTACTCTAGGTCAAGTCGGCATAGTGGGGGGGGTGGGTGGGAAGTTTTGGGTATACTAAAAGGCATTAGGGTGGACAAGTCCCCAGGTCCAGATGTGATCTATCCCAGGTTACTGAGGGAAATGAGAGGGGAAATAGCTGGGGCCTTAACAGATATCTTTGCAGCATCCTTGAGCACTGGTGAGGTCCCAGAGGACTGGAGAATTGCTAATGTTGTCCCCTTGTTTAAGAAGGGTAGCAAGGATAATCCAGGTAATTATAGACCGGTGAGCCTGACGTCAGTGGTGGGGAAGCTGCTGGAGAAGATACTGAGGGATAGGATCTATTTACATTTGGAAGAAAATGGGCTTATTAGTGATAGGCAGCATAGTTTTGTGCAGGGAAGGTTATGTCTTACCAACTTGATAGAATGCTTTGTGCAAGTGACAAAGTTGATGGATGAGGGAAGGGCTGTAGATGTCATATACATGGACTTCAGTAAGGCGTTTGATAAGGTCCCCCATGGTAGGCTGATGGAGAAAGTGAAGTCTCATGGGGTCCAGGGTGTACTAGCTAGATGGATAAAGAACTGGCTGGGCAACAGGAGACAGAGTTGTAGTGAAAGGAAGTTTCTCAAAATGGAGAACTGTGACCAGTGGTGTTGGGACCACTGTTGTTTGTGATATACATAAATGATCTGGAGGAAGGTATGGATGATCTGATTAGCAAGTTTGCAGATGACACTAAGATTGGTGGAGTAGCAGATAGTGAAGGGGACTGTCAGAGACTGCAGCAGAATATAGATAGATTGGAGAGTGGGGCAAATGTGAGGTGATGCATCTTGGAAGATCCAATTCAAGAGCGAACTATACGGTAAATGGTAAAGCCCTGGGGAAAATTGATGCACAGAGAGATCTGGGTGTTCATGTCCATTGTACCCTGAAGGTGGCAAC